AGCTTTCAGAAGGCAGAGGGAGGAGAACAGAGAGGCAGCACAAGCTCTCTAGGAGCCAGGTTTCATCACCCTTGGCTGAGCAAATCCCTTCCCCTCTCTGCCCTTCACCTTGCCTCCACTGCCCTTGTGTCTCCGGTCCCTAAGCTTTGGGACAGGGTCCTCTCTGTGTGTTTGCACAGCACTTAGAATAACGGTAGCCTCGTCTCTGTTGAGACCTTTGGTTGCTGCTGCAGTGCAAATATTCCATTCTGTCTTTCGATACATTCACAGAAACTACAGCGCTTTATCAAGCCCTGGCAGAGGCGTGTCTCAGGAGAGGTTTTCCTGTGTTCAGCAGCTTGCAGCATCAGGACTTTGGTTTGAGTTAGCTACACCAAATCTTTAAAAGATCTTTCATTATACTGAGTGTCATTCATTTCTCCTCTACCAACACTTGAAATCCATTAAATGAGTCTGAATCAACATCTGTCTTCAGTTAACATTGTTTAAAACCAAATCAAGCTGATTTTTCTTATTTTTGTTTGCATCTATATTTCCAAAGAGGGCTGATGTTTTATGTTGCTTTTGCCTTCTTTCTATAGAGTGTTAATTTCTTGTGATCTGTGAAGAAAACAACTTAGCAGAAGTATTTGTATAGATGAGGAGCATTGCTTTGCTGGTTCTTTAGAATCTGTCATGTGGAATAATATTTTTTTATTATAACATTAGGCAGGATTTAGTATACTAGGACATATGATGCATGTGTTTGCGTTTTCTTTGGGATACAGTGAGGCATTGACTGTAGCTGGTGCAGAAAAACAATGCTCAAATATATTTTACTGATTGGACAATTCTTAAGTGTAACTATCACCTGTAAACCCAGGATTTTTTGAAGTGAATTGTTTTTCTTAATGTTATCAACTGACATCTTCAAAATAGAGCCTTCAAGGGAAGTTGCCTGTATGGAGCGCACAGCGACTGAGTTGTCTTGGAGTATATGGTTTCCTTTGTAATGGATGCTCACACATCCCAGAGCATTCACCTGCTAATTCCATGTTCTTTGCTGCTACCTCTGCACACACGGGGACTATTGGGTCAAGCAGCTCTTTCTGGATGTGCACGCTCAAGGGTAAGGGGAGTCAATCTTATGATATCACAATGTGAAGCTGCTCTGCAGAATATTAGTTTCATAGCCACAAGCTAGAGCATCATAATATTGCTTGTTTAGAGGAACCGTCTTAAGACAAAATCTTGCTTTGTGTCTAGTGCAAATATGGGCTGAACTTCCATACTCACTCATGGGCACCTCCTTCTGGAAATGTGGCAGATCCTGAAAAAAAAAAAAAATTCTAGGGAAATAATTTTTTTTTTAAAAAATCACAAGTTTTACTCTAAAGGTCGTTTAGTTAAATCTGCAGCTCCTGTCCACTGCACTGACAGTTGCTAGTAAAAATACCTGGCAAATGCTAGTAATCCTGAATACGAGCCTGTGTGAGATCAATACCTACTGGGATACTTTGGGCACTGTTTCTTTAAGTCTTCTAAATTGCTAGGCATGGTAGATTGTCTGAAAATAAAGCCACAAAGCACTTGATATTCCCACCTGGGAATACTACCTTTAGGTTTCAGTTCATCTTCTTCAAAGGATCTGAAAAGTAATAACCTGTGATGGAAAATGGAAATATGAAAATACAACCAATTTTTTAAGAGAAAGCATTTGAAAATTATTCAGCCCAGTATTGCACTTGATATTGAATATCCGAGGCACATTTAATTTTGTTTACCCCATTTAGTAAACTGGAAGATGGAGTGATGCAGGTGAGTCCTGTCCTTGCAGTCTAGGGTAGTTTTATACACGTTTCTAACCCCAAAGGTCTGCAGAGGGGACAGCCCTGCTCACACAGATGTGAATGTGTGCCTTTCGCCATCAAAATACCCGAAACCCTGCAGAATCCTGCAGATCCTTGATACGAAGTTCTAACCCCAAAGGTCTGCAGAGGGGACAGCTCTGCTCACACAGATGCGAATGTGTGCCTTTAGCCATCAAAATACCCCAAACCCTGCAGAATCCTGCAGATCTTTGATACAAAAGACAATGCCACAAAAATTACCTGCTGCGACAGGCAGAACGTGAAGAAGAGCAGCTCATCTTTTGTCGTGTTCCAGTGGCTGGTCTAGCAAACAGGAGAGGTATGAGAGGAAGTCTGCACTGGAGAGCAGAAGAAATGTTTCTGATGTTTTAAGTGTGTCGATCTACGCTGGGTACTTAAGAGTTGGAGAGGATAACAATGCCACAAAAATTACCTGCTGCGACAGGAAGAATGTGAAGAAGAGCAGCTGGTCTTTTGTCGTGTTCCTGTGGCTGATCTAGCAAACGTGAAAGTCTGCACTGGAGAGCAGAAGAAATGTTTATCTGGTGTTTTAAGTGTATCGATCTATGCTGGGTACTTAAGAGTTGGAGAGGATGTTTGAAAAGGGGGGCAGGGTATTCCAGTTTTCTGAGATGTGTTGTCAGGATCATAGATTTATTTTTTCCATGGTGGCTATAGCCTGATGCTCTGACTATGCACCCCACAGCCTGCTTCTGTGTAAAACATGCTACTCCTAGGAAAATACATTCATTGGGAGAATACCAGGATGTCGAGATGGCAGAAGAAATTATTTCTTCTTGTCTGATAGTCTGAAGGGCAAAGCAAGTTTATATGACTCTCAAGGGTCTGTACAGAAGAAGGTAACAGAGTCTGCAAGGATCTTTTATTTATTCAGGATTGTTTGTTATATTTTAGTTTGCCTCCCACTGTCTCCTGACAAATGTGGTATCACTGGTTGAAAAATCTTCCAGGAAACAATATATTTGGTATAGTGGTTTGATGACTAATCAGCATTCTGCCTTGGTTTGCCACAGCCAGTCTAAAGAAGTGATTTATTTGAGTGTTTGAAGATGAAATGCAAATCTTCAGTAATTGCATTCGAACAATTGTGTTGTATAAACTTATGAAACTGCTCCATTGTACTGTCAGATAAAATTAACCATCCCATAGATTTATCAGCAGAACACTAATTGCTTTATCACATCTAATGTTTGAGAACAGGTGGAGAGGGGCATTTGCAAAGCCCTAGCAGGAGATTAGAAAAAAGATGCATGTCTGACCCAGCACCGATTGTGATTTAACCATTAAAGGCACTGATAGCAAAGTCAGGACAGAATTATCTATTATGAACATAACCTATTACCTCTTATAAAAGTGCTTAGCTACCACAAAGATTAAGACTGTAAAGGTAGTCAGAAAACAAATTTCAAATGCTTGGATAAATATTTATAATTTTGCTATCTGTGGTTTATGAGCTTATGTTCTATTTTGATTTCTGCAGTCAGGAGCAAAGTTGAGTATGATATTTGTGGAGAAAACAGATGTGTTTCACAGAGCTACCTGTTCAGCGGCAGTACTGATTTTCCTACAGAACCCTCCCACGCCCCCAATTCACATGTCTTTTTAAAAAAAATAAAAAAGCATATTAAAAGAATTATGAGTCTGCTATCTCTCTGGAAGGTGAACAGCTGCAAGAGGGAGGAATTGCAGTACAGAAGCTTGGTGTTTGAGTTCTGTCCTCGCTGCCAATTGTGCATGTTCTATAGAAGCAGGTTAATGGAACCTAAAAATCTCATTTAAATGTAATTCAATTGCAGTACAAACTGACTGAATCTTTTTCTGCTTTGAACCTTAACTTTTTACAATAGGTCTAAAATCAGGAAAGACATGCTGAAGGTTAAGCATGAAAGAGCTTTTGTGACTCAAGTTAAAAATCTGCCTAAATGTTTAATTTAAGGTGCAAATAAAATCAGGTGTTCTTTCTACAGCCGATGTCTCCCCCAGAGCAAGGAGGTAAATTGCTAAAGCAAAAAAAAATTCAATTGCTATTGCATAAATGAATGTCTAGAGGTAGCACAGTATTTGCAGACATGACGGTTTATGTGAAAGCTGAATATTTGTGAGAAGGATGTGGATTTGCTTTGCCGTCTTCACTTACCTGATTGTTTGCATTCCTGTATAGATAACACCACCGCCGTGGAGAACATATGTACACCATGGATCTTGTAGGGACACACTTCCCATTCAACCCCCAAAGAACTGTGGCTATGTAAAGTTTGTAAGATCATGGTTCTTTTATTAAAAAAAACCCGCAAAGCAAAACCAGAAAGCTCTTTGCTTAGGCAATTTGCTAAATGCCTTTAAAATACTAAATCATAACCATGTAATTTATATGGTTACATACAAATTGCCATTCAAATTATGAAATGCCCTCAATTTTTTGCAGATGAGTATTCTTAGCTTACCTTAGCTTCTAATATCACCCTAGAAAGTCCAAGACTTCTCTGCAATAGAAGGATCCTGCTGTCAGATCTGGAAACGATGGTATCCTACTGTGTTAACGAGAAAATACTTTAATTATGTGTTCTTCTTTATCAGTTGCATTTTCAGGCCTTGGCTTTACTACCTTCTACTTAGCTGGAAAGTTGCACTGCTTCACGGAAACTGGCCGGGGGAAGAGCTGGCGGCTTTGTGCAGCAATTCTCCCACTCTACTGTGCCATGATGATCGCCCTGTCACGTATGTGCGATTACAAACATCACTGGCAAGGTGAGCCTTGGAGATACCTTTTTTCTTTGTGTTTTTTAATTTTTATTTTAATTAAATCATATGAATTAAAGCGTGATAGCTTGCTATAGATTTTCCTTGCTCCTGGATTCGTACTGAGGGTTTCCATGTCTGAAAATGCTGGAGGGGCCCTTTACCGTTCTATATTTTTATATACACAATGTGCATCATCGTATTTATGTATAAATTGACATCAGTAGATTTTTTACATCATTTTTCACAAATGTACGTCAGTATTTGGATAGATCCAGCTGTAAGTGGGCATCTGCTCCACCATTAACCTCTGTGGGCTGCCAGGGGACAGCCTGCCTCAGCAGGGGCTGCAGGGGAATTTCCACTCTGGCACCTGGAACACCTCCTCCTTGGCCTTCGCTGACCATGGTGTCTGTAGAGTTGTTTCTCTCCCATCTTCTCACTCCTTTCTCTGGCTGCCGTTGTGCAGGGCTTTTTTCCCCTTCTTAAAGATGTTATCCTAGAGGTGCTACTGCTGTCCCTAATGGGCTCAATCTTGACAAGCAGCAGCTCGGTCTCAGAGCCAGCTGGCATTGGCTCTATTGGACGTGGGATAAGCTTCTAAGGAGCTTCTCAGAGAAGCTGCCCTGTAGCCCCTCTGCTACCAAAGCCTTGCCATGCAAACCCAGTACAAAGACAGAACATTCTGTTGATTCCTCTTCGTATCATAGAATCATAGACTGGCCTAGGCTGGAAGGGACCTTAGAGATCATTTAATCCAACCTCCCTGTCATGGGCAGGGACGCCTCTCAACTAGATCAGGCAACATGTAGTTTCAATCCAACATATCTCTGTTCCCACTGAGCACTTTCTCATCTCATACAGCAGTCAGTGTGCCAGACTCGTCTATGCTTTTTCTTCCTCTGTTGTCTGTGTTCATGCAGCATCCTGTTCTCCCACAGCTACTTAGACTTGACACCTTCTTTAAAGGAGTCTCCTGGTTTCTTGCTGTCTTGTTAGCAGGGCTCATTACTCTTCTTTGCTCACTGACACTCAGAATCGGAGGGAGCCTCCAGCACAAAGCAGCTGACCGACCGTGAGGCGCGTGCCTCGCCAGGCTGGCAGGCGGCACAGACGGCCGTTACCAATCCCATGCTCAATGTGTGACACTTGGCTGCTTTGAACTCTCTGCTAAAGAGAGAGCCAAGGGTGCTAATGGGACCGTGCAGCTTTACTCTCGAGTTTCAAATGCGTGTTTACAGTCTGTGCTGTCTCTCGCCGAGAGGAAGAATTATTTACGTACTAAAACATGTCCTATGAGGCAGATTATTATGGTGTATTTAATATATGATGGAAGAAAACTACACCCAGGGGATTGTGACTGTGTCCATTACAGCTGCTCATATTTTTCTCTTTGAAGTTTAAGGAGATGGAGCTGAAAACTCAGCTCTACCCAAGCTAAGAACAGTGCTGGCAGATATTATCCTGCAGGTGACATATTCTTTTACCTGAAAGAACTGCATTCTCAAGGGAGAGACTACTGCACTCTGCAATACACGGCACAGAAGCTCAGGCCTCGTCTTTTATGCTCAGCAGAGTCAACTAATTGTGTTAAATTACTTATGGTGGCTTTGTGATAAAGTCTTAACTATGCTGTGGGGAATGAACAAGGACCATCAATATAATGTCCAAGACTTAGAATGCTGTAGGTGAAAGATAGAGTGGAGTATCCTTATATTAAAAAGCCATTGAGTGGGCTTAGAACATTAGTATTATGAATACTTCATGAGCTCCCTTCATTTTGGGTGGAGAATGTAATATTTAAGATCTTAGTGTTGGTATTGATGAATATTAGGATATTTCATTATGAATCCTGAATGTATTGATGGCTTTTTTTTTTAGATCTCTGTATAGGTTTATAACACTGAAATGTTAGTTCACTTATGAAATACCAGGAAATTTTATATGAAGAAAAGTAAAGATAGATACTGAGACTGGAAGAATATTATTTTTCCTTTATGAGCAAAGGAAAAAAAGAAAAAAGGGAAGTTGTGGCTACCACGAGCTCGAAACAAAAACAGAGAATTGTCTTTGAAAACAAGTCAAAATCCCTGCCTATGTTTGCTCAGTACTCCCAGTCAAGGTCAGTAAGCTAGATACCTTGCCATAAATCATGTAGTCAATTTGTGTTCCTGTGTTGCCCAAACTGAGGCCCAGAGTTGCATAATTTGCATATAAGTATTTTGAAAGAAATTATCTAGGCAAGTTTTCAACAAGTCTTGAAATGCTAGGGAACTTATAAAGGGCTGGCAGAAATCTGATGTTTTTCCACAGTTAAAAATAGTAGTTGTAGGCTTGACCTCAATATTAAGCAAAATAAAAAATCAGCTAGAACAGTATTCAGTTAACCACGGTTAAAGGAGGGAATTCTGAGAATTGCACCTAATACAGGTTTATAGAAAATTAGTCTTGTCAAAAAAAATTAAATTTTTTACAAGTTGACTTCAATGCTGTAATAGTATACTATAGTGAAGATTCTTGCCCTTGGTACCTTTTGCACCATGACAGTTCGATAGGGACAGTCTGAACACTTCCAAATCAGTCAGCTTCCAGTAAGGGTGGGATAAGCTTCTGACTTCTTGCAAATACTGTGTACACACAATTACCTTTTAAAGTCTTAAACTTGAGTCTCTATTATGTTTGTAATAGGTTTATTATGTCGTTCTGCATGTAGAAAGAGAACATAGGATTAGAAGAGATCTCCTAGGTCATTCAGTCTAGTCTTCTTCCTCAACAGGCAAATGTGACTTGTAATCACATTTCTTAAATTTATCCATCTCAATATTAAGTTTCTCAGAAATTGCCCTAGCTACTCTTGTTAAAAGGCTCTTCAGAATCTCGCTCTTTTGATGATTACAAGCCATTAATTACCTGCAGAAAATTGAACGACATGTTTTTTATTCTAATATATTATAGACTGACAAACTAGGGCATTTAATCTGTATTTAAGTATTTCAGACAAAACCAGTTTGCATTGATTTACCTTTCTTTGTCATTAAACTCAGTGATTCACCATTTTCAGCCCACTGGGGTTTCTTTGTAACTGAAAGAAAAGTATGTAAACAGGCATACACAGCTTATATGGTGCTTAGTAATTCTTGTTAAAATAAAACATGGTGACAAGTCATGTTCTAGCCAATGTCTTTTGCCTCACTTCCATTACTGCGTTCAGATCTGAGGCCCTCGAAGTCTGTGTGTATTTTCGGTGAAATTTTGTTCTGTTTGCTTGAAAATGAAACACAAGAACAGGCAAGTGTGTTAGTAAGTCAAGGAGAGCCTGACAACAGAACAAATCCTCTTACGCTTCGTGCGCTATTGCAGTTCCCATGGAAAACTTAAAATGGCCTGTTTGAGAGCTGCAGATATCTCATACAATGGCCTAGTTTTATTGTATTTTATTTACTGGTAGGAGGATGACAGAGTATCAAAGAGAGGTATTCAAAAGGTGTTAAATCAGTTAACAGGTCTTTGACCTTTCAGGCGCTTTTTAGGAGGAATTCACGCAACTTGAAATAGTTCTTGACAGCTCTTTTTCCCAGGGGCCTTTCAGGAGCTGCAGGTGAAATGAATTGTTCTAGCTACAGTGGCCCATTTCCTGAAGGAAGATAGTTGTCCCTTACCTGCTCCCTGTCTGCATTGGAGCATGCCTTTCAGAGGGCAAAACAGTCAAGAGTAGATCTGGTACTTTAGCTGCCGTCTTTCCTGGGGCAGAGACAAGGAGAAGACTGTAGTCAGAGCTCTGGATGCTGTAAACAACAAAGTTCAGCTGTATTGCTCATAAATAGAAAACCTGGTGGCGGTCATTTATAAATCCTGGCAAAGTGGAAGAAGATACATGGGTTGCCTACCCAGAAACGTTGGTCTATGGTGAGCTGGAACATCATGAATGTTCAGTGCCCCATGGAGGACATTCTTGTTTGTCTTCTGAAACATAGCCAACTGTGTACATTTTGAGTACTCAAAATGTTGGAGTTGCCCTGGCAAAATACCGATTTTGTGACCTGCGTGATTGTGGTATTCGGCTCCAAACTCTTTAGGAAAATTCAAAGTTCACATTTTCTGGGTTAAATACTTCCAGGTCAACCAAATGTCTTTTATTTACAGTTGTCACTACTGGCTGACCTTTCCATGGTAACATGCTTCTGCTTTTGTTGCTTTCCTTATCTAGATGCTTTCGTCGGAGGGATCATTGGCCTCATTTTTGCTTATATTTGCTACAGACAACACTACCCTCCTTTGGGTAACACAGCTTGTCATAAATCTTATGTCAGCCTGCTAGATCAGAACTCTATGAAGAAAGAAGAGAGACCTACAGCAGACAATGCTACTGGCCTGCCTCTAGAGGGAATAACTGAAGGTCCTGTATGACTTTAAGAAATGTGGAGAACGAACTTCTAGCCTCCTCACATTTCCTCCAAACTGGTCTCTTAACATGGTGTTTCTTACTGGACATGGTTTTTTGTCTTATGTTTCTTTCCTTTTTATAAACATAAATTGGATTTTATTTTTAATGCCATAATATTAGCATATTTTAAAAGTTCAGTTTTCATTTCATATTGACTTGCTGAATTATCTGTTTTCAGTCTACTGCAAACAAATAGACTACTTAAGGAAAGGGGAAAGAACATTAATAAAATCAATCCTATGTGGAGAATGGTTAGGAGAAATTTTAAGAAAATGTGATTGAGCATAGAGTAGATCTGCTTCCAGATCTACTCTATCCTCAACTGAGTATCTCCGGGAAAGTTGTGGTCGTCTTCAGCACTCATTGATTTGGGTGGGTGGTGAGTACACACAGCACTTTCCATCAGATGTTCAGCATCTTTTGTGGCCAGCCATTTCTTTATATAATTTGATAAGTTAGGGCATCATCCTTATGTTTATCTTGTTGCCTTCTAACATTTAAAAAAATCTCCACATGCTGGTAGAACTTTGTATTAATCGTCAAGTTTTGTCAAGGTCATTCTGAGCTACTAGTGATCAAGCAGCCTAAAGGTATGAAGGGTTAAGTGTTTGTAAGAATGAAGCCTTGTCTATTAGTAGTTCCACAGGATGATTCTGACATTCAAGAATTTCCACACTGTTAAAATTATCAGCTTACAATAACATATATGTTCATAGGATGGATTAGAAACTTGGTATGACATCATTAGCCATTTTTTGAGAGCTCCTGCAGTATTTACCATCAAAAGGAAAGAAGACAACACTTGTGACATTCAATAAGCTGAAGTCTTTAAAGCAGATTTTTAAAATACGCCAAAACTGTGAGGATAAAGAATCACAATGTCTTCTGTGACTCTCGGTGTGCCATGTTCATTCTTGTGTAGTGACTCACTGCAGCGTTGGTGATCTAAAGAAATGCAAAGATTTTCATCTGTGACTTTGGGCGCACGACCATGAATACCTGTGGTGGTCTCCAGCACTGTGACGTATCCAGAGGAGTACTGGAGACAGTTTTCCACTAGACCCATTCCACATTTTCAGCTCATCATGTTCTTGAGCATGGTGTTTGCGAAGGTTGTCTTGGTACCTGGATTCAAACTCACCTGACTCAAAACACTGTTGGTGTGGAGAAGATTTTTAGGTGTGTGACTTTAGTTAATTTATTAATGGTAGGATCGTTTTGTTATGTACGCACTATGCAGTATACATCACATTCCTGTGAAATGATGTACTTTTGGACGGCAGAATGTCAGATTCTAGGTTTTTTTTTTTCCTTAGATATCCTCTGAAAATGCAGGCAAATGTTCCAGACCACATCTTCGCAGACGAACATTTCTTAGCTGGAGCTGCTGGTTAAAGTGATCAAGGTAGCATTGATCAATGGCCATTATTATGGTGCTATAGACTGGAAGAGACTGCTGTCATAATTCTAATTTACGTGTTCCTGTTGGAATATGTATTGGCCTTGTAGGCATATTGTGATTCAAGCAGCTCAATGTATTTATGTAAGACTTGTCATTTACTTTTCTGAAAGGTAAGCTTTGTAGATTTTTTTTTTTGAGAAGAGCTACTTCCTGATTGGCAACACTTGAATTTTTATAGAAAGCAAGTAAATTAGAAACCCTTTAAAAATAAATGTTAAAAGTGTATACAAGACGATGCAACCTTACTATGTATAAACTTATCTGATAAATAGGGAATGACCTTAAGGAGCAGAATGTAATAGGCATGAACCTAAGAGGGTTTTGTAGAAATTAGGCCTGATCTACTCGAAAAACTGATACCAGTTTGAGGTAGGATTTTCTACCGACAGTTACAGTATTCTGAGCTCTAGAATAGAGACAGTTACACAAACATGACTGTGGTTTGCTGGTATATATATATATTCTAGTTCTCTAAACTAGCATATGCAAAGCAAAATCATTCTGGCATTACATTTGCACCGGATTTGGCAGAACACTCCTCTAGCATAATTGAGGTCTTATACTGGAAATCCACACAGTTTAGTGGAGGTTTAATCTTATAAAGTTTTTAAACCATCCTACAGGATTCTGTACCAGGGAAATAATTTTCTATTACTTCATATGGGAGGACTGACGAAAGCCCTAGAGTTAAGGGTATCATGTCTTTACATTATATAGGGCTTTGCCATTAGCTTTTT